CGATGTACACGTCGCGCAGCAGCCGCACAAACGCGAACTCCTCTTGCACCCGCGCAGAGTTGTGCAGCAGCTTGCTCTCGCAGTCGAAGCAGGTGGCGCCGGCCACGCGCTGCGGCGCTCCGCGCGCAGGGGCCAAACCGCGACCGCTTGCGTCAGTCAGAAAGAGCGGCTCGTAGTACTTGACGTGCCTGTCCATCGCGCAGCTCCAGCCGGCGGCGAACGGCCGATCTAGCGGGGTCGCAGCTGCGCAGACGTGGCAGTCATTATCTGATTTGATAAAAAAGATTCGAAATTAGCTGCGGACGCGCCGGCACGATCAGCCGCGCGCGCGCCTCAGCAGCACGGTGCCTGCAAACGCGTCAGGGCGCAGCGCCGTGAGCCGCTGCTCGTGCAGCAGTACGGTGCAGCCGCCGCTGGGCTGGAAGTCGACGAAGTATCGCGCGCCCGCGAGCGCCAGCAATGGCGGCGCGGCCGCGGGCGCGTCAGCAGCGTGCGACTCGAGCCAGGTCACGAAGGCCGCAAAAACTTGCGAGTCGTCCACTTCCGACTCGAGGTCGTCGACCTCGAAGCGCAGCTTCAGTTCGCTCTCGTCCATGCCGCGCGTATCTCAGCCGCGAGTCTCGCGGATTTTCTCAAAATTGTACTAGCTAATTCTCAATTACAGCAATTGAAAAATTGACTTGTACCGGGATGGTCTGCGTGCCGACGCACCGGCCGATGCCTAGTCGTCGGCACGCGTTTACGAAGGTCTCGGTCGCGCTGAGTGGTACTTTGTTGATCGCGAGCGTTATCGTCACGTCTGCGCGGTTCAGCTGCGACACGAGGAAGGTAAGCAGTGTACCGACGAGCAGTTCCGCAGGGACGCAGACGAACCGCTCGGTAATGTTTACGACTTCGGGCAGCTCCTCGACGCGCGCGTCGAGCTCGAGGCGCAGGTAAACAGCCTTTCGCTGTTCGCGGCACTTCGCGAGCTTCTCTGCGCGTTCGGGTTCTGGCAGACTGGTGAAGCGCAAGTTGTGGAACTGCGTCTGCGCGAGGTAGCGCTGGAGCTGCTCGTTCGGCTGCTCGTGCCCGCGCGCGACTGCGTAGCGCCGTTTGAAGAACTCTTCTTCCTGTTTGTAGAAGCTGATCAGCGAGTCAAACGCTTCTTGCACGTCGCGGTCGGGCGTGAACGCCTCGCTCAGCGGCGTCGCGATCGGGCACATGCAGAGCGGGCACGCGTTGTGGTCTGCAGCGAGCTGCCGAAGGATGCACACGTGACAGAACGTATGCGCGCAGTCGCGCAGCGTCGTCGCCTGTCGAAAGAAGCCGAAGCAAATCCGACAGCGGAAGAACTCGAGCACGCTGTCGAGCCTGACCAGCGTCTGCGGCGCGCGCGCCGGCACTTACGCTGCTTAGTGGAACGTTGTCGCGAACCTCCGGCCCGTCGTGGAGCGCAGACGACATTGCACGACGCGATCAAACTCTGCGTTGATCGCGAAAATATGAATAAGGAAAATTAAATTCGTGAAACTACATTTCACAGCAGCGGTCACTGGACCCACTGCGACATCCACTCGTAGTCTTTGTTCCATTCCGAGTCACCTCGACCGGGCGCGCCGCTTTCTGCCGACTGCGCGTGGTACGCGGTCTCTCCAGCGTCCCACGCGCCGGCGAAGTCTGCCTGCGTGTTGCAGGCGGAAATCGTGTTCTGCTGCATTAGGTACGCCTTTGCGTGTTCGTAGCTGTTCATGGTCAACCGGCCCGCCGCACCACGCGCCGCTGCGTCGCTGTTCGACGCCTGGCTCTCGCGCGCGACTGTCGGCGCCTGCGGTTCGTTGTAGCTGCGCTGCGGTGCGCACGACGGGCGCGTACCTCCGCGGCCCGGCAGCGAGTTGCCCGTGCCGCGCTCTGCTGGCGTGTCGCGCGTACTCGTGCTCGAGGCGCTCGGATTCATCAGCTGGTTCTTGTGCACTTGCTCGTAGCGCGCAAACGTACTCGGCGGCGCGAAGCCAAAGCGGTCGCGCAAGACGCGCGCATCCTCCGTAAGCCGTTCGGGCTCGAATGCGCCTCGCGCCGGCGCGCTGCTTCGCGCTTCGTGCGAGCCGAAGCTTGCGGCGCTACTCGCGTCATTGAAGTCCCTGTACTGGGAACTTGGTGCGGCACTGCCGCGGTAGTATCTGCTACTAGCATTTATTTCATTGACGTTGGTCCACGCGTCGGCGACGGCCGCAGTTCCGTAGGGCAGCCCATAGACTGCCGCGTCGTAGCCACCGACCGCCGTCGCGCTAGGTTCCGCGCCCGGCGCCGCGAGCGCGGACTTGTTGAAGTCGAGCGCGCCTTTGGTGCGCTCGGCGACAGAACTAGAGTATTGTTCGTTTTTATACGGTACGTTCATTGACTGGAACAGCTCAGCGCACTCCCCTTGCATCAGCGGCAGCTGCGTGACCGTGCGCGGGCGACCGCCGCGGTTCTTGCCGTGCGGGTTCTGCAGCGGCAAGCTGGCAATTACTGCGGCATGCGGGGTCTTGAACTTTTCTGCGCTCGCCTTGGCGTTTTCCCAGATCACGCGAGCGCTGCAGTACGCCTCTTCTATCGAGTCGAAGCGCGAGAGCGCGACCCACCCGACGTACACGTTCTGGTAGCGCACTCGGAAACCTTTTTGCTTCCTGTCGAAGTAGAGCCCCGGCAGCGGCGGAAAGCTGTCCGCTAGTTGCGAGATTTTGCTCGAGTCGCTAGGGAACCCGTTGTTTTGCGTGTTGGACCTGCGCTGCTTTCGCTTGCCGCGTGCGTTCTTGCCGCTCTTCTTGATCGGGCACGCTGTCGAAAATTCGGAGTCCGAGCATTCCTGCGAGCTGTACGAGCCAATCCGGTCTTTCCAGCCGTCGGGCACATTCAATCCGCGCACGAAGTCGCTGTAGTAATTGAACTGGCTCTGCGCCCGGAAGCCGTCCGAACTGTCGTTTTGACTGGCCCAGCTTAGTCGCTCCGGCGGCCCTGGCGCGTAGCGACAAGCGGCGTCGCCAGCGCCGCAGAACTTCTGCGCTTCCAGAAAAAGCGGGTCGTTATAGTTGCGGCCAAGCGCACCGACGCTCCCGTACTGCTGCGCACCGAACTGCAGACTGCGCGCGTAATCCGAGTCGTCGCGGTTATCGCGGTCGTCCCAACGCGTTGCGGGCTTCGTCCTACTCGTTCCATAAAGTGTTCCGTAGTATTCGTCGCCGTACGACCCGTAGCCTGCAACTTCGGCGTCGCGCGCAGCGGCCTGTGGCTCACCGCGGCAGTGCACAGCGTTGTTCTGGTGAAGCAGCTTGCACTCTTCGCCCGCGAGCTTGTCCCCCTCGCACGAGTTATCACCTAAGTAAGAGTTCATTGAATTTGCGGCAGTCGAAGCGTCGTAGAAGTACTCCTTGTCTGCCAGTGCGCCGCCCTGCGTCGCCGCAAATGCGCCAAAGTAGCCTTCCGGCCGGTCACAGCTGGTGGCGCGCAGAACTGAGAGCCGCTCTTGGTTCGCCTCAGATGCATAGCCCAGCAAGCCGTTTGCAGATTTATCACAGCGCGCAGCCCCTGGGGCAACCACCGGGACCCCGGGCTGTATTCCGTATATGTGGCCGAGCTGTTCGCGACGCTGTGGCTCACCACTGCCGCGGCAGCGCTCCGCTGGAGCGCCGTTAGCGCGGACCGCTACCGTCGAAGCGTCCACGCTAGAGTCTGCGCAAGACAGCGCTGTGCTCTGCGAGGCATTCGAGCCGCGATGTGCGCCTGGCTTAAACGCGCTGTCAAACTCAACGGCGTGCTGCAACGCAGTCTCGAACTGCGCGCGCGGGTCCGCGTGTTTCTGCAGCACGCCGCCGAACTTGACGGCTTGCACCTGGTTATTAAGGCCGCGGCTCGAAACCTCGAGACAGCCGCCGCGGTCAAACTGCGAAGCACCAGAAGAAGAATCGCGCGAGTGGCCAGACGCGAAGCGCATCGCTCGCACGACCTCATCGCTTCTCTGGGCACGATTCGACGACAGCCGCTCATTGTGCGGCTCGTTCGCGCTCGAGCTTTCAGTTGGCGCAGCGGCGTCGCTACTGCTCGCCGCTGCGCTCGGCTCTGCCTGACCATCTTCTGGACAATCGAGTGCTCTTACGGACGAATCCCTCGCG